CTGTGTGGTCCTTAGTTACTGGCTGGGGTTAAACCACAACAAGCAGCTGGCAAATTGTTTCAGTGGTTGACTGCAATCACTCTTAAAATTTGAATGCAGGGGGGCAGGGCAGAGGGTCTGTGAGAGCCTGTTTAAAGCTCAGCTCGACTAGGCCCCTAAGCATCCTGATATAATTTGAACCTGCTTTGAGTTGGGAGGGGGGAGCTCTAGATGACCACCAGCAATCCCTTGTACTGTACATTATTCTGTGATTTTATGAGTCTAAAAATTACTTACTTCCTTTAAATTCAGTGCCAGACTTCCAGATTTATTTTAGCTTAGCTTGAAACTGTAAAGACTCTATTTCAAAAGTATTCCCTCTTCTCAGGAAACTCATACTTCCACTTCCCACAGCATTATGTCAGTGCAGTGTAATGCTGTCAGGTGCTGTGTGGCGCACACTGTCTATCAGAGAATGCTACTATACACAAGGTCCTGGCTCTTTAGCTTGTATCTAACAGAAAACATACTGCCTCCAGAACCTCTTTGCCATCTCTCTGCCCCTGGAAACACAACCATCAGTTCCTTGTCACTTTTCTCCAAGACAATGACTACATATCTCTGAGGACCTCAGCTTTTTTTTGGTCCATCAACAAGGTCACTGAGTTGTCTTCAGTGACAGTGTATACACAGCTATCAATCTGCATGGTAGTTAAGCTGCTTTTTCATTACTCTGTTTTATATATTCAAATGAATCAAAAAGCAAATTTTCTTTTGATAGCCTATGTAATATTTAAACTTATCACATGTATTACAAATTTAAAATAACCCAATTTTAAGCATATTCAGAAATATTTATTGACAATATTCTGTAGGAAATCAAATCACTACGCTCAATTAACAATAATGTTTAAACACCAAGAATCAGAGTTTTGACCAAGACCACAAAGGAACTTGGGAAAGACTGAAACAGCTTAACAGAAAGGTTGCAATCCCCCAAAGTCTCTTTATCCCTCTCCCCCCAGTTGTCACTTAAATATGGAATGTGCTGGAAGCGCCCTAGAGAGCTGAAAGTTGTATTTCATCTACTATGCCAGAAATACATCTGTTTTGACAAGGATGCCAGAAGCTCAGTATCTTGGTCACAATGGCCTTCTCTGAATCCAGTCATTCCTTACTGTAAATCTCTTGAGATCTTTGACTAGTTGGCATTCTTAGAATAAGACTAACACCCAAACAGTGGACCCAATCCCAACAAAGCATGGGATTGCCCATGTTATACAGTATCTTACTTCAATTCCTTTTTTCCCCTCCAAGTGGATTCAAACTCTTGTTCCTCTCCCCTTAGGAAAGAAACCTGAACAACTCGCTCAATGGTATTCTAGTAGGGATAAAAATGATAAGAAGAAGTTTTTCATACTCCTAGAGTATTGTTGCCATTCTATTGAAAATAATTTGGAATTATACAGACCAGAATGACACAGAGAATGAACACACAACAAAGTCCAAGGCACTCACCTGGAATTTATAAAAACTGGATTCTGGTCCCTGCTACTGTAGCTGTTTCTGTATTTTGTATAGTGAGTGTTTTGCACATGACAGTGCTGAACTCACTGACCAGCTTACCTGATGATATGATTTATCACGATAGGGTCTGGTGGCAGCAGCAGGTTAGTGAGTCTCTGAGGAATTTCAGAAAACTTTAGCCGTGGACAGTCAAAGATCTGAAATACAATAAAGCATGTTATCCTTGTCCAAAACCAAACCTGCAATTAAATGAGAAAGTAAGAAATCAACAGTTCAAAAGTAAGGTGATTTTGAAAGCTATAATCCTGGCCCCTTGCACAGAATAAATTTTTGGTTGCTTCTGTCCCTGTGAATTGCTGCTGTACTTACAATGTCAACTAGCTGACAGATGCATCAGATGATGACAATTTCAGGTATCCCACTTTTGGTTTAGCTGCTGAAGGGCACAGGCCACTTTAATGGGACATCAGGATCAACTGTATCAATGACGGGAGAGAAGTGAACACCTCCTCTCTCACTAAGGGTTTGCAGCAGCATATTGTAAAGAAAACAATTTTTTTTTTTTAACCAGAGGAAATATAAAAACAGTTTGCTTTTATTTTCCAAGGCATGTTTCCTGCAATATTTTGTGCTAAAGAAAAATACAAGAAAACGTTTTTGGATTTGAAAACGACTTGCAATGTTTTGTTTTTTTTTTTTTTTAAGATTAAGGGGGGAAAAGTCAATACGGTTTTACTTATTTTTAACCAAAACCTACACAGCCTCTTGAAACAGATCCAGTCCTTTCCAATAAACATCTCATGGTTACCTTCTCTTTACTATGGTCCAGAAGCTAAGTATGTATTAAATTCAGAAAAAAAAAAAAAAATTTTTTTTTTTGGAAAAGGATCAAAATCTCTAGTTTTTGGAAATTTTCTGTGAGTAATTGCAGTGCATTGCCATGAATCTAGAACCACTCCTTACACCTGGAGTTTTCAGAAATATAATTATTACATCCTTTTTTTCCTACTGGGATTCTTAATGCTCTGAACAGGTGAATAGGCTTCTATCTAAAGATATTCCATTTAAACTGACTTTAAAAGCCCCTGAACTATCTATATATTAACAGTTGGCTTAAAACATGCTGTTATGTGGAGGCAATTTGAAAAAATATTGAGGCCTATGGAAATGCAAAGGCCTCTGAGGAAAACTATTTCCACCTGATAGAAGAGAGATACTACCTGTAGTATTGCATCTATAAACAGAAAAATGCTTTGAAGCTCTAGAGACAAAGGATGCAGGCAGGGTTGAAAAGAATGGACTGTCAGGCTGTAGAATGGACATATGAAGTCAGACTGTTCAGCTAGGATGCTGTGGTTCCTCAGATAGAGTATCTTCTGAAATCTATAATTTTCTTGAGTGAGGGAATTTGATAGCAGAAATACCTAGAAGCCAGCTCTGGCTTTTGAAGTACCTTTGGACCTTTTTTCTTGCTTTTGCTTGTAACACAGTGGATTTCAAATCTCCCAGCTGACATAAATGGTGTTTCTAAACAGAAAAGGATCCTTCATCAACTCTAAAATCTGTCTAATTTGCTGGACTTGCCTGCATCCAGGAATTCAACCAGTTAGTTTCTAAGGAGCAAGGAAGTAACCAAATCTACTGAGTCTGCAACTCACTATTTTGGTTCTGAATTCTGACACTTGATAGAGATGACTGTGGAATTCCCACTCAAAATCTTTGCATACCAAGCTCCATCCAATCTGCTGTCACCACTGGCTCAACACTCATGCCAAACTCCTAACGTGGATGCCCAAGAGACGAGAGTTTTAGGAAGGGAAAAGGGAGCAAGGACACACAAGTGAGAGAAGGGGTGGGAGACTGGAAACTAAGGCTAGGTGGAATTTAGAAGCTAGTAGGAAGCTTCTCACATTCCTACTTAACTGGAGTTAATGGTCTAAACTTATAACCACTGGCTCTGAAAGCCTATACGGCTATAGTAATTCTGGTGTGTGAGGTAACTCATTCAGTGATTTTTTTTTTTAGTTTGTACTGTATTGTGTCGTTAGATACAACCACAAGCACATCAACATAGGATTTAGAAAAGCTGGCATACCAAATAAGAAGACCGGTATCTAAAAGGGAATGCTAGAGACACTGATGTGTTACGTACTGCTCCCCTAAGTGATCTGTGCACTTCCAGCTATGATCATGATTTTTTCCAGGAGTTACATGCCTACAACTATATAGGCTACAGAAATATCATCAGAGTGGAAGGCATTCCTAACTCAATTCCTTTACCCTCCATATCTCAATCTTAAGAATATTAGGGTGAAAAACAAAAAAAATCATGAAATGTTTAATTTGATTTAATGGGATTCATTTTCCTAAGTACTAACATCAGTTTTGAAAGCAAGATTAGCTACTTAGGATATTTTTGCCAGAGACCTAAGGAAAATGGAAACACTCAAATCAATCCCATTCATGATTTAAATCTATGCAAACACTGCATTCTTATTAAACTATTCCAGGTTAGCCAGCTTTTTCAGGGAGTGAGGTTCAGTCTCCTAGAAAAGGAATCCGCTACTTCTCAACTCTCTCATCCGACTAATCTTCTGAGGATGGGAAGACGATTATCAGGTCTGATGGTATTCCTGAAGAGTTCTAACACAAAGGAGACCTATGAGCTAATAAGCCTCTGATGGCTCCAGCAAGTTCTTATTCTAGCAAAGTTCTTAAGCTGAAAATTAAAATAAATAAAAGTGAGAAGACCCTCCTGCTTACCATAAGTAAGGTATGAACTGCTGTACTGCATCAGACAAAAGATCTACTACACATCTACCACACTATCCTGCCCTTGATAGTGGCCAAAAGTGGATACTAGAGGAAAAAGCAAAGAACAGGAGAAACATATACTGGTCTTTCCCCCAAAAAACCTCTTCCAATCTCCACAGCTTTGCAATTACCTGGCATTTATAACAGCCCAAGGGTTTTTTTTTTTTTCCAGTGGTTTGTCACTTTTAGAACGTATATACACTTCTAGCATTTGTAATGTCCTATTACAAGGAGTTCCAAAGTTTAACCATGCTCAATTCCTTTTGTTTGTTTTTAATGTACTACCTGCCAGTTTCAGTTGATGGCCTCTAATTATTTACCAAAATAAACAATAATTACTCCTTGTTCACCTTTTCCATTCTGCTCATGATTTTTCAAATCTTTTTCACCTCCCCTTTTCCATTTCTTCTTCAGGCTGGCACAAAAAAGAAAGAGTCTAAATTGGCTATAGATAACTAGAGAATGGAAATCAAATCATCTAAGCAACAGAGAGAACAGCTTTGTAGTTTTCCCCAAAATTCTTATGTGGTTTTAAGATGGAATTTCTACTATACATGAAAAAGCCTGCATGCTGTAATTCTCAAAAAAACCCCCACAAACAACCCAAACAAGAGAGTGACTATATAATCCAGTCACTTTGGTTCTATATTCCTAAAAATACCCAAGAATCTCACATTATTTTGTTGTATTTTGTATTTTCAAATGTGGAAAAACTCAGTGCTGCCTTTATTTCAAGCATTGGTCACTTTAAACCATTGTAGGGCAAATTAATAACAGAAAATAAAAGCTTAAAAAGGAAACTAGGACACAACTTTCATTGCAACATTTACTTTCAATGCTCACTGAAACATTATTCATTTATTATAACTGCCAGTACTTTCCCTAAACAGGAGTATGTCACAAACCCTACCTTCAGGTACTTTCAAAATAAATTAGGTAAGCCTGAAGCTACAGAAAAACAAAGCCACTTAAGATAATGATAGCTCAGATAACATTACCTTTACAAAATAAATATAATCATATTTACAGAAAAGGTGGAGATGCCTTTAAGTGGCCTTCTCGGTTAATTCTAGAGGTCACTGTGAAAGACAAAAAGCCTTAGCATGCTACTTTCAAAACACCAGACAGATCATTGAGGGTATTTTATAATCTGAAGCAGACTTAGGAAAAAATAGCTTTTCTAATTATATCTTCTATGTCTTCTGCCCTTCATAAACAGGGACAGAGAAGGGAAGAAAACAGGTCTACATATGATTTGGCAATCAGAATCAGCAGATTATTTCATGTGTCTTAGTGCAAAATGATACATTGGGGGGAAAAAACCAGTAAATCAATACAGCGAAACAATTAGAGAAAGTCCTCCTTCCTGGAAAGGCCACAACCTACGTGGGATTACTGAACCACCAGATGCGTTTTTTTGACAACACTGGCACATGGGGAGGGTGCTTATTATATTAGTTGTAGTGACTATTGAAAGCCATTCAGTCCTGAAGACACTGCAAGTCATTAAGGGAAGATAAAAATCAGTAATTTTCATCCATCCAAAATTTGCAGATGGATATTCTGGTTTGACTCTAAAGAGCTACTGTGTCCAAAAAGGAGTTACCTGCTGGAAGTACTTGTCACAATTAATGTATTCCTTATCATGGGAGTCTTGCAGCTTATTTGTTTTGATGTACTGCCAGAGAGCCTGGATGATAGCTGACCGGGTCTGTGTGTGAATCCCCAGCAAACGGGCTAATCGTGGGTCCAGTTTAAACTGTGGAGGCTGTAACAGAAAGAGAAGGAGATGGAGATGGCGATAGAGAGAAAAGCAGACAGATACACGGGTATGAAGTTTCAGCTTTAATTCTCAAGGGACTCTGTTCCTCAGGAGAATCACCCTGTTCAGTGGCAGTGATTGCAAAAATATAAGTTGCTCAGATGTGCACCACTGTCGGTGCTCTGGAGGAACTATGTCTAGGGTTTGAAAAGAAAGAGGGATGCTCTGTGTGTGTGTTGTGGTTTAACACAGCAGGCAGCTAAACACCACACAGCCATTTGCTCGCTCCCCACCCCGAAGTGGGATGGGGGAGAGAATCAGGGGGAAAAAAGTAAAATTCATGGGTTGAGATAAAGACAGTTTAATAGGACAGAAAAGGAAGGGAAAATAATAACAACAGCAGCAGCAGCAACAATAATAATGATAAAAGAATATCCAAAGCAAGTGATGCACAATGCAATTGCTCACCACCCGCCGACCGATGCCCAGCCAGTTCCTGAGCAGCGATCGCTGCTCCCCGGCCAACTCCCCCCCAGTTTCTATACTGCCCATGACGCCGTATGGTATGGAATGGCCCTTGGGGCAGTTTGGGTCAGCTGCCCTCCCTCCCAGCTTCTTGCTGGCAAGGCATGAGAAGCTGAAAAGTGCTTGACTAGTGTAAGCAGTACTTAGCAACAACTAAAACATCAGTGTGTTATCAGCATTATTCTCATACTAAATCCAAAACACAGCACTATACCAGCTAATAGGAAAAAAAAAATTAACTTTATCCCAGCCGAAACCAGGACAATGTGCTATGCACACAGACTACCTGTATCACATGCTTTAGATAATAACAACTTGCATGCAGAGTCAGGAAAGAATTTTCTTTTTCAACACTGATTCCTAATTTGACTTTAGGGAGTGGGAGAAGAAAAAGAGTGGTCCTTCGTCTGAACTACTAGTGGTTAACCACAGATAGAGAGAATGAAGTCAGAATGATGCTTCTACTGTTGCTAATAACTGCTCAGCTGCCTCACATCAACAAAATATCTTGGAACTCTGTTTTTCAGGCATGTTCCCACCTCTCCACTGCATCCCAGAAAATTCACCCGACCACAACTAGTCAATGGAATCTATTTCTTCTCCTGACCTCTATGATACAACTCTTCAACTACCCTGTTCTGCATCTCTAGTAATATACGTTCCTTGGATACCCTGGAATTTGGTGCCTCTTCAAGTGTCTACCCATACTCGAGTTCAACATTTGCTGCGTTATTAGGCAAGGATTACTCTGTTGGGTGCTAGGTCACCCAAAGCTAGCTTTGTAACAAATCAAGACTTCAGGATAAGAGAATATCTATTTTAAAGCATAGATTTATAATAAAGGTGAATATAACAAACATCATTATATTATCTTAACAATAAAGATTCTCACTGGCTATATCAGCATTTCAGTTAGCTCATGCGCTCCCTAAAATTAATAAAATTTTCTCTCTGTGTCGTGGTTTAGCCCCAGCCAGCAACTAAGCACCACGCAGACGCTTGCTCACTCCCCCTGCCCCGGTGGGATGGGGGAGAGAATCGGAGGAGTAAGAGTGAGAAACACTCCTGGGTTGAGATAAGAACAGTTTAATAACTGAAATAAAGTAAAATAGTAATGATAATAACAACAATGTAATAATGATAATAATAATAATAATAATAATAATACACAAAGCAAGTGATGCACAAGGCAATTGCTCACCACCCGAAGACCGATACCCAGCCAGTCCCCGAGCAGCGATCGCTGCTCCCCAGCCAACCCCCCCAGTTTCTATACTGCCCGTGACATCATATGGTATGGAATGGCCCTTGGGGCAGTTCGGATCAACTATTCTGGCTGTGCCCCCTCCCAGCTTCTTGTGCACCTGGCAAGGCATGAGAAGCTGAAAAGTGCTTGACTGGTGTAAGCAGCACTGAGCAACAACTAAAACATCAGTGTGTTATCAACATTCTTCTCCTACTAAATCCAAAACACAGCACTGTGCCTGCTACTAGGAAGAAAATTAACTCTATCCCAGCCAAAACCAGGACACTCTGTTAACATAAAATGGAGTGTCTTTATCCTGGATAGATGCTACTTGCATGGAGGGGAAAGAGAATGGCACAGAATGAGTTCTTAAAGTTATACAATCAAAATGTATCTTGAGACTGAACTGCCATTGAAAAGGGAGATCCCATCTCTTCTCAGCAGTGCATTGCTATCAATTTCCTTAAGACAGCAACATTTCATTCAGGGATGGTTTCAGTCAGATTAGTGAGCTCTACAACTGCAAATCTCCTTCATTTTTGCCAAGAGAATGGAGACTGTGGCAGTGCACACACAGTGCACAGTGGTTTTTTTTGGAGCAGCTTAGCCGTACAACAGCTTGAACCAGTTTGAAACTGCCCAGGAACCTCTTTTATATTCTATCCCAAGGCAGAATAACCTAATTTTGCCTATTGGGGTTTTTGTTTGTTTGTTTGTTTCCTGTGACTGGGATCAGGGAACTGATTTGGAAGTAAGTTTTGTTAGCTTTCAAATGGATCAGTTCCCTGACTTTTTTGCGTTCAGCCCACAAATACTACTAGTACAATAGAACTGATACTGACAAAAGAGAGGAAGCAGGAACGCATAGCAAGGCCTAAGAGTAATGGCAAGTCTAACCTTTGCAGGGCAATGTTGTCTTATGCCAGATTACAGTGACAATGTAATGAAAACTTAACAAACCAGGACAGCTGTGTAGTCTGCTCTCAAAAAAAGGCTGCCACAGCTACACAGCTAGTTCAGGTACCTCTAGCAAAAGCCACTCCATTGAATTTCTGTACAGGACCGCACCCATAACTCATGTGCAATTTATCTGACTATTCTCTAAGAAGCCTGATGTGGAAATGCATATTCTTTCTGTAGGTGGGCAATAAAAATACTATTTATCATCGTGCCAGGAACAATATTTTGCTAGATGATAACAGAAACTTATTTGATGTGTCACCTTTACATTTTAAATAATGTCAGTTTGGTATCATTCTAACCTCAATGGACTATGTGACATTCTGAGTCCAAGTATATTGTTTTTTGATGTATGTGACAGGATGAATTTGCTCTGTTGCACTGTCTCCCAATGGCTGTATTTTCCATGCCAAAAGCAGTGCACTGACCTGGTAGTCCAACATGAGGAGTAATGTGCACCGCACGCTGACATCACCAGGTCTTTTCACCTGGAAGCCATCAGTTTCCTGGGTTGTGGGAGTTCTGTGCCACTGCCAAAGGAAAGATAAGTAAGATGGTCAGTCTTTTTTTCACTGATGTCCATCGAGATGCATCTTGCACAGTACACCATGCAAGAGTAAGACAAGTACAAGCCTTCTGAACATCCTGCAACTTAAAAAAAAAAAAACGCCACAACAAAACCTCCCAAAGCATTTCTTGCTCTGCCCTTCCAATTCAGCTTTAGTGCACAATCTGTTCTGCTGTTAGCACGCTTCAGTTGTTAGGAAAAATGCGCACGATTTTTTCATCATTTCATACATTCTGTTCTAAGATGTGCACTACATCACTACTACATCTATGTTTTTAGACTATACAGATTGTTAGCAAACGTTCTTAAAAAGAATGGAATTTTGAAAACTTTGAAAATACCTTAAATGAGATAATGAATGCAAGGTAACTTAAACAAGGTAGACAACAGGCACGTAGCTGTTTGTCTGTGCTAGTATCAGGTTTGTATGCAAAGGGTGCATGACCTTCTTACCTCCACAAGATGGTTGTCAGGTCCATAAAGATCTTTGTCCAGTTCAATAACCAAACTCTTAAAAAAAGATGAAAACTTCCGTTTCTGTTTGCTGAGCTGTATAATCAGAAGAAACAGACATGTTTACATCTGCCCATATGAGCTTGTATTCTACGCTTCCTTCTCAGGCTTTCTCTTTCTCTTGAACATTAATTCCCATATAGACCACAAGTGTGATCAATCTAATTGAGCTTTCCCTCTGACAAATGTAGGGTAAGATGCAAAAATCTCAACAGTGGTGAAACAGTGCACACTTAAGGGAAGATTTCCCTGACTATCTTAAAGTTATTGGAAAGGACTGGCTTGTAATGTGAACATGGCACCTGTGACAGCGGGTCCAGAGGAGGCCACGGAATTGATCCGAGGGCTGGAACACCTCTCCTGTGAGGCCAGGCTGAGAGTTGGGGTTGTTCAGCCTGGAGAAGAGAAGGCTCCGGGGAGACCTTATCGTGGCCTTTCAATACTTAAAGCGGGCTTATAAGAAAGATGGGGACAGACTTTTTACCAAGGCCTGTAGTGACAGGACAAGGGGCAATGCTTTTGAACTGAAAGACATAGGTAGGTTTAGATTGTACATAGGGAAGACATTTTTTACAATGAGGGTGGTCAGATGCTGGAACAGGTTTATCCAGAGAAGCTGTTGATGCCCCATCCCTGGAAGTGTTTAAGGTCAGGTTGGATGTGGCTTTGAGCAACCTGATCTAGTGAAAGATGTCCCTGCCCATGGCAGGGGGGGGTGACCAGATGATCTTTGAAGGTCCCTTCCAACCCAAACCATTCTATGATTCTAAGGCCACTGTATACCTTTTATTTTAACAGCTTGGTTTTTTTGAGGAATGCTAATTTCTTGGTCTGATTTATCAGATAACAGTAAATTTTACAGATTAATCATACATTAAGCAAAAGTATTTCCTTTTACATTTTGCCTTACCATTTAATTACCAGTATTCACTGTTTACTACACAGCTCATACTGTCTGATGAAAAACTGGGAGGTCTATAATCACATAATCTGACTTTCCATAGAATACAGTCCACAGGATTTCAATTAATTTCTTCTTATTTAATGCAAAAAATCTTTTAGAAATACATCGTTCTTTGATTTAAAATTTGCCAGTAACTGAGAAGCTATTTTGTTCCAATAAAGAATCTTTCTTTGTTAAAAATATATGCTCTAATTTCTAAACTGAATGTGTCTAACTTCAATTTCCAGATGTTGCACTTTGTCACCCCTTCATCCTCCAGCAAGATTATTATTCTGATTCATGTACAGTTATCTCCAGACAGACAGATGTGCCTTGAAAGCCTTGCCCTCTCCATACACGCATGTTCTCCATCTGTTTATCCTATCAAATACTTAGCTTGTGAATTCTATTCAAATAGGTGACACCTTTATTAGTAAGGTCCAACCTTCCCCGAGGAAAGCTAAATCCATCACTGAGGTTTCTGAGGACTTCAGAATGATAAAAGTTTTCTTCCATCCTTGCTCTGACCATCCATACATTCTCTTGTCCTCCCTAGGAATATGAACTACCTGCTTCTCCTTGTTATCCTACGCTTCACAAGATGCAATGCCTGCTGTAGGCCTGACTTATCACACCTCTCGTGACCTGAACCCTGCCATATCTTTTAAGGGAATCGTCTCAGCCCTGGGCTCTCCACCTCCTCCTACCTGTCCTGTCCTTAAGTCTGCTCTGTTTCCTGCTGCCCTCCCCAACATTCACATTATGGCCTTATCCCTCACTCTGGCTGGACATGGTGCCTTCCCAGCAGCAACACGCCAATGCTGCCATTCAGAGATGTCTTGTCTGAGTTGATGTCCCCAGTAAAGTCCACCACCCCACAGGACAATCTCTAGATCCTTGCCAGCCCCAGTGAAGCACAGGTAAGTCATACATCATCCAGGAGCTTCCCCTCCACTCGCAGCTCCCATGAAGCAATGCTGCCATCAGAGTCATCAGCATCAGATTTTGCAGGATTAAATGTGTTGGAGATGTAAAGTCTCAGTTTCCGCTTTTGCTGTTATACAAATAGAGAAAAAAAAAGTACACATCCAGTTTAAGTCCAAGACCCAAGGAAGCCACAGGAAAGGTGATAGTTACACATTTAGTAGAGAATCTGCATGTTTAGTACAGTTGCACCAGGTTATAGTAGAATTTAAGATTTGGTTACGTATAAGAACATACACTGAAGAGCTGAATCTGAAACTTCCTTTCAAAAACTATTGGCTATACAAACATGCTAAGATCCACTGTAAGCGGAGAAAGACAGGAGGTTGCAGGGCCAAGCCCATGAGGCTATACATCCTTTACCTCTAGATTATGATATTTGAGAAATCATTGTAAGAGAAGCACGATATGATGCCCCTCCTGTCTAGATCCTAGCTGGATTGCTAAGACTAGCTGCAAACCTCTTGCTACATGAATGTCTTTCATAGTTATAGCAGTTCAGATTTGTAAATGGCAGTCACAAATACAGCTAATGCTGCAAACTACGTGCCGGGCACATCTCTGCCCATCTTCGTTCTACCATCATGCAGAGCCTGGTAATAGTCTTCCTACAGACACACACCCAAATACACCCCCACACCCAAATACACCCCCCCACACACACCCCCCCTGCTACCTAACCTTCCTCTTTAACTACCTTTCACCCTAATCAAACATTGCAGCTCCAACTTGCTGTGAGGCCTGAGGTGGAGGAAGGCACTGTGCTGCATCCCTAACCCAGTCAGAGAGATACAATCATGTCTACCTGTTGTCATTTTTACATGCTATCTAAGGTTTCCCAATCACTGTACTGGCTTATAGCTATGTTATTTCTCAGTGCCCTTCTCTCCCATGCACCACGTGGAAAACCTGGCCCTTAACTCCGATGCATGGATTCCAGAAAAAATATTGCCAAAAATGTCTTTGTGACTCTAATCTCAAATATCTGTTTATAAGATAATGACAAAAAGGCTACAGTTGTCAAGTTAATGCAGTCAAAACAAGCTTCATACAATATAAGAAAGGAGTAGTCTTGTAAAGCTCTCACACTCACATACACACACATATAGGAGAGAAGGAAGTTATGTACATCAGGTCAGGAAACTAAAAATCTAATACGGCACAGAGGAATGTGGGAGGCAGAGATATATGGCTGAAGAGGAACAAGAAAATTACTACATTTTGCCAAATCACAGACGACAGTGACAGAAAGGTTTGATGGAATTGGAGTGTCAATAGTATGCAATGAGAGGGAACAGGATTTTCAACAGTGCCAAGAGTCCAGAAAATAACAGGTTGACAGAACAGGCAGAACAGGCAGATAGGTAGAAAAATATTCCTGGAAATCCATATTTTTTTCCTCCATCCTTTCCTACAGGATTTCTGTTGAAAAAGTGCTCTTTCATGATATAAAATGGGTTTCTGTAATGCCCCAGAATCTTTATTTGGTGTGGAGGACTTGCAAAAGACTTCACATTTCTAAATTCACAATTCTTCAAATTAACTTGCACATTTTATGCACTGTTCCAAAATTTTATCCCCATATGGATTACTTGCAAAACTGTATCTATATACATAAGCAGATTTTTTTCTTAATAGTTCCTCCTGGATACTCTACTCATATTTCAGGTTTATATCGCTGATTCCATTTCCTCTTCTTTTGATTTCCAAAGACGTTATCTCCATTCTCCCCTTTACCCTGGAAACTCCTTCTCTCCTCATATCTCCCTGTATCCAGACAGAAGCTGTGTCTGTTTCCTCTGAAGTCTGACATTTCATCACTAAGATCATCCTCCGCAATAACATCCTTATTCAAGTATGAGTATTTTAGATGTCTTCCTTTCTCCTAGCTTTCAGGCTCTAGCTTCCTTGTACAGTCCACCTAAAACCAAGTTAGTAACGTCTAATTCCACTGTGAAATACAAAATACCTCTCCTTGATACTTTCCACTGTTTCCCTTTACTAACTCCTTATCATTTTTCTTTCAAGTCATGCACAAGCCAGATGCAGCTTACATTGCAGAACTGGTCTCCTGCTGGGTCCCCTATACTTTCCCTGCTCTGCCAAAGTCAGAGTCTGCATATCATTTATTTGTTTCTCCCACATCTCTCTCTTCAACTTACAGTGTTTTCTTCTACACAATGACTTCTCAAATTTAATGCTTTCCTCACTGTAACCCCTATAAATCAGCCCACTTATTCCACATTGTCATCAGAAAGGAACTCAGAATAATTATGAATAAAAATCCTAAGTAATGGCTCTAAAGTTATCTTTTGTCCTACTTTCTATGTATCTTGATTTTAGATCAAAAACCATTTAGCCTTTGACTCCAACATGTTACAAACACTACTGACAACCTGTAAGTACTGCAGAATGTTGAGTCCTTAGTCTCTGCTAAGCGAAGACATTCTATCCAATGAGCAAAATGTGTAACCTGAACCCTGGGGGTTGTCTTCAGATTTCAGCCCAAAAGGTACTGCAAATTTGCAACACTATTAAGGCGGTGATTACCTCCCAAATGCAACCACAGAAAGATCCTTGCTTCTGACTTATAACAAATATCCAGGAAATCAATCAAATGGGGCAACTGCATAGCTGCAAGAGGACCCCAACACCAATTGGGCTTTAAATCTAATAAAAATCTTTATTAGAACACGAAACAGAATAACGGAACATAAAGAAGGAAAACTCACATTTGCCAAGTAAAATGGAATAAATAAATAAATAAAAAGGTTTTGTAAACCAAATTTTCTCTGTTCTTGAAAATCATAGAATCATAGAATCATAGAATCGTTTAGGTTGGAAAAGACCTTCAAGATCATCCAGTCCAACCATTAACCTACACTACACAGTCCACACTAAACCAATCAAGGGTAGACTAGACTAAACCACGTCCCGAAGTGCCACATTTACCCGTTTTTTGAACACTTCCAGGGATGGGGACTCCACCACCTCTCTGGGCAGCCTGGTCCAATGCTTGACCACCCTTTCCGTAGAGAAATTTGTCCTAATTTCCAACCTAAACCTCCCCTGGCGCAGCTTGAGCCCGTTTCTTCTCGTCCTATTGCTAACTACTTGGCAGAAGAGACCAACACCCACCTTACTACAACCTCCTTTCAGGGAGTTGCAGAGAGCGATCAGGTCTCCCCTCAGCCCCCTCTTCTCCAGGCTGAACACCCCCAGCTCCCTCAGCCGCTCCCCACCAGCCCTGTGCTCCAGACCCTTCCCCAGCTCCGCTGCCCTTCTCTGGGCACGCTCCAGCACCTCAATGTCCTGGTACTGAGGGGCCCAAAACTGGACACAGTATTCCAGGTGCGGCCTCACCAGCGCTGAGTACAGGGGAACAATCACCTCCCTGCTCCTGCTGGCCACACTGTTCCTGACACAAGCCAGGATGCTGTTGGCCTTCTTGACTACCTGGGCACACTGCTGGCTCATGTTCAGCCGCTGTTGACC